CCAGAAAAATCTGTGGGCCTGGAATGGAAAGTTTGGAGAGTTCCTAGTCCCATTCACTCTGGTTTTCGCTGTGCTCCCCCTTCAGCCTCCAGTAGCAGAGTAACTAGAGTCTCCTGGGGAACTAAAGGTGGCAGAGAGACCAGTTGCCAGAGCTTTGCTGTCTTCAGAGGCCTCAGTGGCAATAAAGGTGCCACTTCTGCCTTAGCATCACCAGGAGTGGTGGAGCTAAGGAGCTTACAAGGTTGCTGACTGCTGTTCTCACTCAGAAGGTTCGGGGGACACTGGGCCTGGACTGCCTGGCTACATGAGTGCTCCATATGGGTAGTTTGAGCAGCAAGGCCGTGACCAGGTCCCTAGCGCAGTTCAGGAATGAACTGAGACCAGCCGCTGTTATCAGGGCCCAGTAGGTCTTCCTCCAGGCCAGGAAAGCTGATGTCCAGCAGGATCTTGCTGAGGCTGTCGTTCATTGTGTCCAGAACCAGACCCTCTGTCAGAGAGCGATTAGCTGAAAGATTGGCGACCTGTGGTTCTGGGGAGCCTGGCTTGAGGGTATCCATATCTGAGGGGGCATAGCTGCTGAAGGGGTCAGAGGTAAGGTCAAAGGGTTCTGAACTGAGGAACTCTCGGGGGGTGCCAAAGAGGGGAATACTTTTCAGTGGAGTGGTGCTGAGGAGGGAGTCAGGCAGGGGACCAAAGGCACCCTGGGGGGTTCTTACTGGGCTGAAATCAAGCCCCCCTTCTTTTGCTGGGGGGGTGAGCTTCCAGGACTCTGGAGTCACGGAGAGGACAGATTTGCTTGGGGTGGAGGAGATGGGCAGCATCTCCTTAATGGGCGTCTTGAAAGGTCCCCCTTCCTCCTGGGAGTAGCCAAGCTGGGAGGTCTGCTCAGAGGGATCTGCTAGGAAGGGGAGCTCAGCTCCTCGGGACGTGTTGGGGCCCTCTGAGAAGAGCAGCTCGGGCTCATCCACACAGGGAGGCAAGAGATGCTGTTTCCTGCGGGACCGGCTCCTCTCCCTCCTCTCTCTCCGTTTAATCACGAGCATTTCAGACACACACTGCGCTGGAGACTTGAGCCCACTATAGGATTTCTTGGGCTTTGGAGTGGGAGAGCCAGACGAGTCCTCCCAGGTGTGAGGGGATTCTTCTTTGAAGGAGGGGGAGGGCCACTCTTCCAAAGGAGGGCTCTCTACTTTGATGTGTCTGGCAAAATGTGGTGTTTCCTCCCCAGGCTGGATCTCTTCCTCCTTGATGGACTGGACTGGGAGCAAAGGGGACAGCCCTTCTCTGGACAGGAGCTTCTCTTCTTTCACTGGGCCTGCAGTGGGAAGAGGGGCTATCCCTTCTTCAGCTAACAGTACCTAAAAGGGAAGCAGAGAGAAGGTAAAAGGGAGCCTGTCAGGCCTGGTGACACAACCTACTCTCACTGGCAAAGCACAAGATCATGGCTATAACAACTTACATACTGACACTAATTCTCTTTTTTATCTCTTAAAATTTTTTAAAACTACTGAATATGAGGATTTAACATATGATGAAGATGGTGATGCAATCAGGGGTAAAAATGTGGCATATTTAATATGATGCTGGCATAATTAGTATCCATCTGAGAGAAAACAAAATCAGATGCCTATCTTATACCATAGACAAAGACTTAAACATAAAAAGTAAAACCATACAAATCCTGCAAGAGAATTTAGGAGACTACATGTACAATCTGAGGGTAGGGGTGACCTTCTTAACCAAGACTGGAAACCCAGAGCTGTAAAAGAGAAGAGAGACATATTTGACTATATAAAAATGAAAAAGGTATACCGTGGCAAGAGATACCATAAACAAAGTTAAGAAGCAAACAATAAAAGTAGAAAGATAATCTTCATATTCTCAGCATAAAAGAAAAAAAAAGTCATTATCTGTAATGTATAAAATTCTCACAAATAACAAAACCGATAGAAAAATGGATAGTGTCTGTACACATGTAATTCATAGAGGATAATTCCAAGTGGCCAACATTTGAGAAAATGCTCACTTATTGATGAGCAAGAAAGCAAATAAGAAGATATCTTTATATCCATCAGATTGGAAAATATTAAAAAGACTGATTAATACCAACTGCTGGCAAAGATATGAATCTTGTCATATGTTGCTAGGGGAAGTCAGGAGTTTTCTTTATAAAGCAATCTAGCAATATTTAATAAAATTTAATACACCACCTTACTACTCAGTAATCTCATGTCTGGGACTCTATCCCACAGTAATAAAAGTACCACTGAGAAAGACATTTATTGCAGTGTTATTTGTAGGGTAAAAATTAAGACAGAAAATGTGCCCATAAAAGTGGAATGGTTGAAAATTTTGTTATAGTCACACTGTGACATAGTCGTTATTAAGAAAGCAATGAATTAGAGCTTTCTGTCAGGGAACTTTAAAGAATTTCCATAATGGAAAAATTGAAAACTATGGTCTGAGTGAAAGTTAACAGACCAAAATAGTTTTCCATTCAATTTAAACCTTTTGTTTTGCTTCGTAACATTAATTTCACTTCATTCTGTGTAAAAGCACTTTTCCCATTTCCTTCCTGAGTTCCTCATTTCCATTCATCCATATTTCCTGCTAAGCTTTGCTTTAGGGCAATGCTGCTCTTTGGGTCTCAAATGGTTGATTTTTTTGAGAAGTATGCTCCTTGCAGGTACTTAGTGTTCATGTTATAGGTCTGCTTATTGTCTACCTATAAGGCGATACCCAGGGTGGGTTCAGTTCCAGGTTTAAAGGTTGTCGAAGGGCTGGAGTCTTGGGAGTTCTATCAAACCACCAGTAGGTCTGGTCTTTTTTTATGTCGAATTCTGTTCTCCATTTTTTCCCCATTCTACAGGACTTTCTACTGTGGTCCTGATCAAAGCAATGGGTTGTGATATCTGGAATGAGTCTAGTTGTTCTGCTTCTAGGGGTGTGGAGGCTGTGGTTCATGAGGCCCATTAGTTCTCTGGACTGATTTCCTAAGTCTTTGATTTTAAGAAGTCTTCTTTGCTCCAGATTGCATCTTAGGTAGCTAATTACCATCTATTAAGATCCCAATCACTAATTATCAAAGTAGGGTGTAAAATATCTGTGTGGACTATGTCATGCCAATTGACCTACGTGTTCCCTGATATTATCATCCTAACCTCCCAACCCAGCAACTCTCTCCCTCAAGGTGTTTATTTATGGCTAAGCTTTCAAAACTCTGCCTTTGTGTGCTGTTATGTATATGGTTGCATTTGTAGTACAAACAAGTATACACATAGAAATATCCTTTGTCAAACCTATATATACTCATGAGTATAGTCCCATTTATCTTTCCATACCTATTCGGCTTGCACATGTACCCATCTGTTGATTTTTTTTTAATTACTGTTATTGCAAAATTATGTATTTACCTTTGTTACCTTTAACTCTTGTGCACCTCCCAGTGTCTTCATTTGCCTTGATCATATTGTATTGGTCTTGCCCTTCCATAAAGTATTATTGAGTTAGAAAAAGTCAGATACAGAAAAGTGGGCAATTGGGTCCCAATTTTTAATGTCATATGTGTTACATGTATGCACATAAAATGTATGGCTAAATATATATGTCTATTACATGAAGAGGGAGCACGGGAGGCCTAGTAGATAAGGCGCTGAGCTGCCAACTCAAAGGCAGGTGGTGTAAATCCATCAGTCGCTCTAAAGGAGAAAGATGGACATTCTCCTCCCATGTGACTTAGAGCATCTGAAAACTAGATAGAAGGTCAGCTTTGAGTTGGCTCTGACTGGACAGCAATGAGGTGTTTGGGCTTTTTAATTATTTGAATAGCATGCATAAAGTCTAGAAGGAAGCAAAGTAAGTGTTGGCATGGGTTTTCTTGGGGGACAGGGGTCACGTGAGCAAAAAGTAGGGGTGGGAAGGTGAAATGGAGTAAAAAAAAGGGACGGAGGGACAACTGTATCAAAATAAAACAGTACCTATATCGTTGTTGGCAGCATCATAGTGGATGGTGAAGAGATTGAGATTGTTCACAGTTTTTGTTTGCTTGGCTCTAAAGTCAACATTCTTGGCACAAGCAGCCAGGAAATTAAAAGACGTATTGCGATGGGAAAGTCTGTGGTTAGAGACCTTTCTGAAGTGCAATGTCAGTCTGGAGACTAAGGTGTGCCTGATATATGCAATGGTTTTTGCAATCACTTGCTATGCATCAGAGAGCTGGACAATGATGAGGGATGATAGGAGAGTTGATGCCTTTGAGCTGTGGTGTTGGAGAAGAGTTTATTGAATATGCCATGGACTGCTAAGTAAATGAACAGGTTTGTCCTGGAGAGGGTGAAACCCGGCTGCTCCTTGGAGGCAAGGATTCTGGAGCTCTGCCTGACATACTTTGGACATGTTGCAAGGAGGGACCAGCCCTTGGAGAGGGACGTCATGCTTGGGAGGGTGGAGGGACAGCGCAGGGGAGGAAGACCCTTGATGAGATGGATTGATTCAGTGACTGGGGTAATGGGTGTGTTGGAGATAGTGAGATTGGCACAGGATAGGGCAGAGTTTAGGGCTATTGTATATAAGGTTGCTATGAGTCACAGGCGACTCTATGGCACATAATAAACAACATATGGTTGTTATATGCCATCAAGTTGACTATCGCTCACAGTGACCAGACTGCTGAACAGACTGAAATCCTGCCCTATCCTGCACCATCCCCATGACCTCCACTATGCTCAAGCCCATTGTACAATCGTGTATCAATCCATCTGCTTGAAGGTCTTCCTTGCTTTCTCTGATCCTCCACTTTTCCCAGCAGGATGTCTTTCTAAAGACCGGCCCCTCCTAATAATATGTTCAAAAGCATGTAAAACAAAGTTTCACTAACTTTGCCTCTAAGGAGGACCCTGGCTAGTCCTATAAACTGTTATTAATTTTATATAGTATTGTTATTAATTCTATATAGTATTATTTTACGTTGGGGGTTGTTTTTTTTTTTAAATTTTTTGGGGAAAAGGCAAATCCAGTTCTTTCCAAACTCCAGAGCCTGTATGATTCCCATCTCAGTGAAGTGGGAGATGTGGGAAACCTTTTCTCTGATTTCATTACTCATCAGTCCCTGCTCATAAAACCTCTAAAGGGTAAATGCCAGACTTGATGACTTAATCACAGTGTGGTCTTAACTTCCCTCTCTTGCTGCTGCTGAACCTAACCTCGTTATGCGCAACTGAGGGGATTTCCTTCCCGAGGGGACATCTGGCAATGTCAGGACACATTTTAATTGTCACATTTGGGAGTGCTACTGGCATCTAGTGGAGAGATACGGAATGTTGCCAAACATCCTATTTTGTAGGCCGTCAGCGCATAGCTGACCCTCCAGCAGGTTTTCAGAGGTAGTAAATGACTTGAGAGGATATTGCCCATCCATCTCTTGTGTAGCAATTGGTGGATTCAAACTGCATGTCTTTGGGATTGCAGCACCGCTTCTTACCGTTAGGCCACCAGAGTTCCTTAAACATCCTATGTTCTTGTTGTTGTTAGGTGCCACTGAGTCTTACAGTCCTCAGAAAATTCCCCTAATCCCTAACAGAGAATTTTCCAGCCCCAAATGTCAGTAGTACTGAGGTTAAGAAATGCTGACTAGACTGACACTGATTCTACCAGTGCTAGGTGCAAACTGCCTGTCCTGCCTCCATTTACCTAGTGGGATGCTCTCTGCAGACCTGTTTGCTAATGGAAATCTACTTTGTTTTAAAATCTACTTCTCTTGTAACTCTTCCTAACTGTCCCACCTCCTCCCTCTTATCTGAATTCTAATGGACTTACCAGGTATTTATGGGCCTTCTGACACCACTTAGATTGTAATCTAAATTCCTTTTTAGTTCTTATAATGCTGTTAAGAGTCCCTGGGTGGTGGAAATGGCTAAGTGCTTATTAACAAAGTTTGGCAACTCAAACCCACTGAGAGGCAGGCACCTCACAAGTCAGGCCCGGAGCGCTGCTTCTGAAATCCTTGAAAGCCCTATGGAGCAATACTGCCCTGCACGTATGGGGCAGTAAATGGGCATTAACTCAGTGGCAACGAACAACAGAATCCTGTTAAATCTTCTAAATGTTCCTATGTATTTACACTTAGCTTGCAACTAAATCTACAAGCTTCTCAAGAATAAATATTTACCAGAGTGCTATGTAAGAAGTAGGTAATTGATGAAAGTCTCTCCTCAGAGGAAAAAGGAAGACACTCACCTTCGGGGCAATTCGGACTCGCTTACTATGGCGGGCCAGCTCTGAGCTCATTAGCGAAGCCTCCAGGGGCAAAGGCACGTTCACGGAGGGCTGCAATACCAGTGACTGGTTCACTGGGAACTGGATGGGCACTAGGTACGAGCTGACTCGTGGAAGCAGTGGCTTCATCTTTCGGCCTATGAGGAAAATGGAGTGCTTAGGAGCAGGGGGAACCAGGTGCACACCCCTTCTCAATCCCAGGAGCTGGGTCCTCCTTTTCTGGGTTCAGATCCCTTTGAGCTGAGAACAGACTCTGAGAGTTTGATACCCTGAAAGTAGGCCCCCAGCACAAGGACTCCACCTGAGGCCCACTATCCCATACTAACGTGCACCCAGTGGGAGTTCAGTTTTGATGGTCACGTTCCGGCTCAGGTCAGGGTTGGGTCGTTTCTGGTGCTGCTTTTGGCAGATAGGGAGAGAAAGAAACCTGAGTTAATAAAGTAGCAGGAAGGTGGCAGGAAAACCAGGCACTGAGCTAACAGGCCAGAGAGAAAAATCCAGTGTAGGGAGATGGACGTAGGTGAGCACTGTCTCCAAAGCCTTTGATAGTGAGAAAAAGTAGCCAGCATACAGATGAATGAGAGACATCACTACCACCTCATCCACGTGCCCTCACCACCCCCAGGGGATGCTAAAGCATGTAGAATGGTCAAGAAAAGGCAGGAGGTAAGAATGAGAGGAAATACTGCAGCCTGCCATGCACTTGGCACTGCTGATTCACACCAAGCCTGTGGCATGTTCTCCTGCCATGCTGTGCCCTGTTCAGCACACCTAGATGACACCCGTGGGAGAGGCAGGAGAAGTGGGCAGGAGCCCTCCTCCTGGTAAGATGAAGTAGTGGTCACTACTGTGCCCAGCAACCTCCTTTTCTTCCCTTCCAGAAGTCTCAGGGTGCTCTGTTTAAGAACAGCAGTCACATGGCCCTAAGCTCTCTGTCCACTCAAGCCATGCTGAGCAATGAAAGGAAAAGAAGTGCAAGCCCCGAGCCAGAGGGAAAGCATCTTACTGATTCCAAGTGCTCGGGCGATTGTGGAAACCCTGGGTCCAGTGGCTGGTGGTGGCCAGGCATTGTGGGAAAGAAATAAGATGCAAGTTACCACTGACGTGATCAATCTGACCAGACTGGGAAGAACACATATTTGTGATTGAAGCTGAAGGGCAATTTGGAATAAGTGTCTGAACCAAGAGAATGGACATAGGGATTGGAAGTCTATGGACACTTTGCTTTTTTCTGAACCAATAGTTTTTTTCTGAAAAGGTAGACTCATGGCTCAGTTTTCCTAGATTTTTCTCTACAAGAGTCCTTAGATGCCTGAAAATACAAATCCTGGGGTCATCCAGAACACACTGAGCCAAGATCTCCAAGGGAGGGGCCTGGAAAAGCTGTATTTGAACAAGTGCCTGAGCAATTCTTTATCACAGGGAAGTTAAGGAAATTCTGCCTGGGGAAGTCTTCCTGTGTTTTGGATCAGAAGTCCTTTTTAGGCCCAGTTTATCATCTGGTATTTGCCATCTGTGTTTAGTGTGTTTTATGTAAACCACTGATTGGTTGGTTTGAACTCTTCCCTGATCAAGTATCCTTTTGAAGTGGATACTAAAACCTCCAACTCGGGTCTTATTTAGACGACACTGGGACACTCACCTTAAACACTTGGTCTAATGTCAAGTAGCGATTAGCACTGGGGTGAATGGTCCAAAAAGAAACCTTGCCATTAGCAGACGTCTCTCGAACAAACATGTCATGGAGAGAAAGGTTGTGGCGAATGGAATTCTGAAAGAAGGTAAGGACCAGTGATCATCTTAGCTTGAGAAAGAGCATCTTTTAAATTAATTGGCCACCATGCTTGGAAAGGTGGAGGGATAGCGCAGGAGAGGAAAACCCCGGATGAGCTGGATTGATACAATTAACAGGGCAATGGGGGTAGGTGTGTCAGAATCAGCGGGACTAACTCAGGACAGGGCAGGCTTCGGAGCTGCTGTACATAGGGTCACTATGGGTTGCAAGTGACTTAATGGCACATAAAAACAACAACAAACTAATTGGGAAAATAAGTCTCTGGCCTCTCCAAAGTGGTACCCAGGACAAGCTTTGTCAAGTGTTCATGTAGCCTTGCTCAGTGGTACTTCTTTCCCTATAATCCACTCTGGTGAGTCATCAACTTTGCTACAAACCCATCTACCTCTACAAGGTTTAAAAGCTGGTGCTATTCTTTAGGGTGGTGATAAAGAAAAGACTTGGGAAATTGTTGGGAACTAAGAAAAAAAAGCTGTTAAGACTATGAAACAATGGTGAGACAGGTGGGTAACAAAAGTTAAGAAACCAGGAAATTGCCTTTCTATGAAAATGGCACCGAAAGTGAAGAAGGAAGCCCCTGCCCGTCCCAAAACTGAAGCCAAAGCAAAGGCATTAAAGGCCAAGAAGGCAGTCCTGAAGGGCATGCATGGCTAAAAATAAAACAAGATCTGCACATGACCCACCTTCCTGTGGCTTAAGACGCTGAGACTCTGAAGGCAGCCCAAATACCCCCAGAAAAGTGCCCCCAGCAGAAACAAGCTTGACCAAAAAGATACCAGGAAATTGAAATAAGAGTGTGAAATTCAAGAGTTCTATTATGGCTGTTATTACTGTCAGGTGCCATTGAGTCGACTACAACTCATTCCATGAAGAAAAGATCTGAACCCTGTTCTATCCTGTGCCACCCACACACTTCCTGACACACAAGAGTCCACTGCAGCAGTCACTGTGTCAATCGACCTGGTTGAGGGTCTATTATGGAAGGGGGGAAAAACCTCTAAACACCCCAAAACTGTTAACCTTCCTAATCTTAAATTAATAACCTGTTGGAAGACCTAACTTGTGATTCTTTTTTTTCTTTCCTAACTTGTAATTCTGACATTGACCGAGTATAGGTTATAATGACTCTTAGGTATCTAAGTATTTCCATGAATAAAATAAAAAAGAGTGCTATCCACTAGACATGCGAGGTGACATTACAGGAGATGAATTTATGAATTTTGGACATGAGGCTTACAGGCAATGGGTTTTGTTTTGTCTTCCATTAAGATTTTCTCATAACATCTATTAAGCAACTAACCATTGCTTTAGGACTGATGTGTTTTTTTTTATCTTGTATGCGTGTACCGTCAAATCGGATCTGACTTGTACAGGAGGATATTGCTCCTCCTTCTCCGGCAGAGCATCTGGTGCATTTGAACTGCGTACCTCTGGGATTGCAGTGCAGCTTCTTGCCACTAGGCCACCAGAGCTCCCCCAGGACTGATGTTTTGTGCAGCATAAAAGCAAGGTTGGCAGTACCCTGAAGGGTCTATAAACCGTAGGTAATAACAGATAAAGTGGCTGCAGAGCTCTTAGCAGTGTGTTTTGCTTAGATTCAGTAGGATCAAGTCACAATCCAAAAGTTACCTATTTACAAGTCCAGTACCCTTAGCATTGTGCTCCCTTAGAGTAAAAACATTAAAGAAACAAACAGTGATCTAACTTTGGTTGTAAGGGGTATATTACCTTCCAGCCTGGCTTGGCAATGTGCTTAAAGTAAGGAAAGTGGTCCTCAATCCAAGTATAGATGTCCTTCAAGGTCATACGCTTCCTTTCAGTGCTATTGATAGCAAATTGTATCATGGCCATGTACGAGTAGGGTGGCCGCTCTGACATGGAGTCCTGCCAGGATGTTGATGCTGGAGGCTCCTCAACCTGAGGAGCCAAAGGCAAAGAGAAAAAAGTAACACAGAAGAGTTTGCAAGAAGCCTCCTCACCATAAACATTCCCTACAGAACCTTTTATCCTATGGACTTATACTAGAAACATACTTAGGAGAGATTATTCTTCCATAGGAAAAAAATTTAGGGTTGAGAAGGATATAGACTAGTATGTAGTCAATTTCTGAATCATTTCCCTGTTAACATTTTGCTGAGGATATTAAAAATCAGACCTATTGCACTCAAATGGATTCAGACTCAGTGTTCCTATAGAACAGAATAGAACTAACTGCCCCACAGAGTTTCCAAGCCTGTCATCTTTCCAGAAGCCAACTATCACATCCTTCTCCTGTGCAGCACTTGTAGGTTTGAACTGCTGACCTTGTGGCTATCAGGAGAGCTCTTCACCAAGACACAAGAGCCCCGTTATTGAAAATAGCACCCAGTAGCAATAAAGCCCAAACTCTTCTAGTTGAAACTTCTCATGAGTGTTTGGCTATATAATTGTCAAAACATTTTTTGATAGTAAAATGACATTTTTCAGATCAAGAGACTTAGGTCTTAATTCCACTCTTATTCCTGATGTCATGTGAATAAATCCATCTCATTTCAGTATTTGTATAAGAGAAAACATTCCCAAGAATATGGGATGGCTAAAGGTATGGTCTACAAAACACACTAAGTTTTGGCTAAGTGCCGATTACTCTTATTTTTCTAAACTGTGATATAACTTAATAAAGTATGCAGATCTTCAGTGTACAGCTCAAATAAGTTTTACCTGAATATACATTCATGCACATTTTTTACTTTTAAAGGCTAATGTATGATGAAAAACACGATTGTGTCAAATCAATTTTGATTGCTGGAAAGTATTTAAAACATATAATTCACTACAAGATAGGTTATCTTTTCTAAAACAATTATCTTGTTAGACATATTGTATTCCTTTCATACTTTGGGGTGCCTAAAACTGTTTCATCATTTCCTACATAGCTACTAAGGGCAGAGTACTATACACAGTGCTGACAGAAATACAGTGACCCAAGAGAATCCATCTCAAAGAATTTTCACAGGGAGAAAAGTGACTCAAAACTTATTTTGATGAGCACTGAGAAAAATTGCTCCTGCAGGACACTCAATCTCTCTCTTCTTGGAAATTCTCTGCAAGGGCTCCTACTTCCCTTCTGAGTGCCCTAGAGCAGTTCACCTTAACCTGATTCTGTTCCACATGGCGATTTTCTTTTTCCTCCATTTCTTGTTTGATGTCACAGGAACCCAGTCCATCAGAACTCATCTTCCCAAGCCACTGGATGTTGGTCAAGCTGTTGTCGAGAGTGCAGCCTGCTGCCTCACCGCCAACTAGAAAGAAAGCAATCCAGGACTCCAGTTAGCTGCCTGACCAGGTGCCTGGCAGTCCCTTCAACATTTATGGTTAGAGATTGCCTCTCCAAGCCTTAGAGACAGGGAACATAAACTCAATCTAATGGGTCCTGTGCTGCCCCCTTATGGATTTCAGAAGAAATTCTAATTACAATCCAATCTGAGCCACTCTGAACCCTTGAGATCAGACAATGCAACCTTACAGAAGGGTTATTTAAGTATCTGCACAAGGAAAGTTACTTTTGGTCATCTGATTACATTTTCTCCTTTATTACAATTATACTTCCTTATAGAACCACTGCATAGGAGAAACAGAAATAATAAATCCCTTTTCAATATAAAGGAAGCAATAGAATACTAGATTATAATGGCAACCCTTTCACCAGTGCCCAGAGGTTAAATCTTCTGAATGAGGAAAAGACTGGCCCTTGATTCAGGATGTCCCTCATTAATATGACAGACTGTGGACCTTGCCACCAGAGATGAAAGGTGGGGCTCCTCACCCCTTTATTTTGCAGATCACATACCACAGCTCTCCCATCTCTGCCCAGGAATGGCTCCAGGTGGTCTAGTAAGAGTTGCATCCCTAGTTGTTGGCTTTTGTCTCAAGGTCTCAGTGATCACTTCTGTCTTCTTGACATCATTGCTGTCTTGGCATGGAAGCTGGGGTCCCAGTGTGTGAGTGGGGGCTCCCCCACAGCTAATGAGGATAAACTTGTTGGGCCCACTGCTGCCACTCTCTTTTCCTTTGGCCGTCAGTGCCGTGATGATGCTCTGGATGTCAGCATTGTTGGGGACAGCTACCACCTGGGTGTTGGGCATGGTGGGGTGGTTAATAATCTTGATTCCAGCTGGAAACTTGCAGGTGCTAGACTCTGCCACCTCTTTGGAGGCCTGTACTTGTTCAGGCTCTTGCTGGGCAGGAGATCTCTTCGATTCCTCTTCTGATGTTTCACTGGTGGCATTTCGAACAGGAAGGGGCAGCCTCCGTCTTTTGAGAATCAGTGGCCGATGGGGGCTAGTTTTCATGATGAATCTGTGTTTTCACTCTCCATTGAGAATCATAAGCATGGACCCTGGAAAGGACAAGGAGCAACAGGATGTCAATGATTTGTTAGGCTGAGGAGGTGTTTCTCTTGAAATAGTCTGAAGTATAAGCCAAAAAGTCCAGGTGAATCCTCCCAGGGCCTTTGTGAGGATTTACCTCCAGTAATAAGATGATGAAATCTACTGACAAAAGAAAGTGAAAACTGAAGCAAATAGAAGCAGTTCAAAGAAGCAAAGTGAAACTGGGTTGGAGTTGGTTCAAGATAGCCAAAGACTAGAAACGTACACATGCTTGGCTATAGAAACAAGTGGGAGAACTACAAAATAAATAAATAACTGTATTATTGCCTCTGATAACGCAGATCACTTGCAACAACAGTGGGAATAAGAAGAGAAGCTACTAGAGTCAAACTGATCCCATAATTGATTCTGGAATAAAACCTTTAGTATTCTTGTCAACCTACTTTGCAAATAAGATCTGTTTTTACAGAATTAGAGGAGAAAGGCATGTCGTACTATTACCACCTCGCTGGAGAAATCATCTTCCAGTTAGAAAGCCTCGTATTAAAGGCTTATCAATGAGCCTTGGTCTATTTAAGGCCCATGGTGAAGTTGTACAGATTGAGCACTGCACAATTCGTTTCAAAGGCTATAATATTATCTTTGCATTAATAAAAAGGATATTTTCCGTTTACAAAACATTTATATAGTGACATACTGAAGGGGCTTGGTGATATAGTCTGTAGTGAGTTGTGTTGCTAACTCAAAGGCTGCAGCCTATCTCCGGTGGTTCAAATCCACTAGCTGCTCCTAGGGAGAGAGAAAGTCAGTCTCCCTTTAGGATTTACGTCTTGGAAACTGAGCCAGAGGGCTGCTATGAGTCTGAACATACTCACTGGAGGTAAGTTTGATTCTGGTGATGTGTTAGTACTCACATGGGCTTATTTAGCTTCTAGGAGTACTGCCATATTAATTTCACTGCTGTCACCAAAATACTAAGGTGGTTTGGTAATGCTGAAAAAGTTTTTTCTTGAAAGAAAAATGTGCTTTCTTATTTTTTTAACAACTACATGAAAACAGACCAATTCTATTTAGAGACTTTGAGAGACAGCAAAAGTGGCTGTTTCTTTTTTAGGAAAGCTGGTATCTCCCTAAAAATTACATTTTTAATGACATTTGCCATCTGCTTAGAATTCATAGGCTTTCCTCATTCTGACTCCTCCTCTTCCTGTAAGCCTAGGTTTCCTTCACAGTCAAATCTCAGTTTTACTTCCACCTCCTATCTCTCTAGGCCTCCCTCCCTTCTATCCATCAGGCAGTAGACATACTCTCTCTTTCCTTCCCCACCCCTTCCTCTACTCCCTAGCTTTTGGTTTAAGTCTTCCATTTCCCCCTTCTATTCTCAGACCAGCCTCTTTTACCCCACCTGATCAAGGAAACCTCGTTAGATTCCAAAAAACAGAAGGGCTCTGCAAAAGGAGAGGGTGGTAGTAGTGTTGCCAAGGGGTGAGAGTACAAGAAAGCAGGGAAGTGTTGTGCAGGCTGCTATTTCACTTACTGCAAAATTAGCTCAGACTTCAGACTAGCCACGGTCCGTGCTTAGGGATCACTCCAGCTCTCTCGAGGCTGTGGGTAGGGTGCAGAGGTCAAACTTCCAGAGAAGGCCACTGCCAGGAGGCTGGATGCAGAAAAAAAATTGCAACTTCAATGAGACCTCCTTCCTCGTGTACCCCCAAACTTGCCCTCCTGTCCAGTTGCTAAACAACCCCTTGACCTTCTCGTCCGGAGGTCCTGCGGAAGCGGTGCCAGAGACCTTGCTTTCTACCTCTGCCAAAGCCTGACCTCTGCCTCCATTCCTCCACCCCGGCTCACCTCCCGACTGCAGCTGCCGCCGCCGCTGCCGGAGTAGGGCTCCCAGGGCGGGCTCCCGAGCCACGGTCCCCGACAGGGACTCGCGCCAGGCCGGCCGGGTCCCCGGCGGTGCGGGAGGGGTGGGGAATCCCGGGGGATCCCGGGAGGGGAGGGGGCCCGGGCCCGGGGCCGGGGGTGGGGTCCGGCACCGGAGCTTTCAGTTTGTTCCGCTGTTTGAAATTGGCGCCGGCGGAGCGTTGCGCTCACGTGACGCGGCGTCGCCAATCAGCGCAGGTCCTTGTTTGCCGGTTCCGGGGCTCGAATCTTGCCTGGTGCAGAGAGGCGACGCGGCCCCGGCCAAGGCCTGGCGGGTAAGTGAGGCCCGCAGCCGGCTCGAGGGGAGAGGGCGACCGTAGGCCGAGCGGTGGCGGTGGGAGGCCGGCAGGAGCTGGAGACGGGGCCCCGCGGTCGGCGTTGGGGGGAGCGGGAAGACGGTGGGTGGTGATTCGGCACGGCCCCCTCCGCATGTTTTCTTCTTGTCCCACCTCACCTTCCCTCACGACTTAAGAACTGCCCTTTAAAGGCCTGTTTTAATTGATTACTGATTGGGGCACATCGTATTCCATTCTTTATAGTTAGCGATCATCGAATACCACTGACTAGACGGATAGTCCTTTGAAGGCAATATATAATCTTGTCCAGGTTTTTTCCATCTTAAAAAACCGAAAACGCATACATCAATTCAACCTTAACTCTATATCTTAAACTACTACTGTCTCCGTCCCTATCCACGCCTTTTGATGTAATAGGCAAAATTGCTTTATTTATTCACTTACTCAACAGATGTTGTTTGAGTAGCTAGTATGTGCTAGAAACCATGTTAAGCCCTAAGGGTACAATGGAAGACAGCTTTCCTTTTCCTAAATTTACCGACTAATGGGCGAAGCTTGTTGTGTGTAACATCGCAGACAATGGCACATAAGCAACTGTAGAATTATACTATGACTTGGTAGAGGTAAAGGATTCTTTGAGTATTTTTTAATTAGTTGGTCTTAAGTTAGTCAAAAAAGACCATTGGCTGCATAGTCCTAGGGACTTGCTCTGTAAACCTAGTGGCTGAACCTTTCCACTGCTGATTAGGATCAACCAGCAGCTTTTCCAGAGACAGACAATTTTATCTCATGTGATTCACAACCTCTGAAAACTCGCTGGAGGGTCAACTATGAGTCACTTTCAACTCAATGGCAATGAGTAAGATAGATAGGTCAGGAAAGAATTTGATATGAGATGAAATGTCTGATGCAAAAAGAAAAGAGGGAAACCCTTTAAGCTTAGGGAGGGACTAATGTGGAAGGTTATCTACACTTTCTTATTGTTAAGTGCATAGTACAGTTCCTACCAACCCTTTGAACAACAGATCTGAACCCTGCCATATCCTGTGCCATCCTCGTCATCCCTAACAAACTAGAGCCCATTGCAGGAGTCGCTCTGTCAGACCATCTCGTTGAGAATCTTCCCCTTTGCTGACCTTTCCACCTTTCCAAGCATGATGGCCCTTTTCAGGGAATAACACTCCTCACAACATGTCCAAAGTATATGAGACAAAGCTTTGCCATTCTTGTCTCCAAGGAGCATTCTGGCTGCACTTTCTCTAAAGACCTCCCTATTTGTTTGTTTGGCAGTTCATGGAATAGAATATTCAGTACTCTTCTTCAACACCACAACTCAAAGGCATCGCTTATTTTTCTGATATCCTTATTCATTGTCCAGCATTATAATGCAAAGCAAATGATTGTTTATATTTTTATGTTGTTGTTATATACTGTGAGTCGGCTCTGAACCCTGACCTATCCTAAGCCTATCTCACTGTCTCCGACACACCTAACCCATTATCCCAAGCACTGAGTCAGTAGTCTCATCCCTGATCTGTCTCTCTTTCGCTGTCTCTCCACCCTTCTAAGCATGATGTTCTTCTCCAAAGAATGGTTCCTCCTGTCCACATGCCCAAAGTATGTGAGTTGTTGTTGTTGTTGTAGTTGTTATGTGCCATCAAGTCGCTTGCGACTCATAGCGACCCTATGTACAACAGCCCTAAACTCTGCTCTGGCCTGTGCCATTCGCACTGTCTCTGATATTCCCATCCGGATTACCCCAGTCACTGAATCAATCCACCTCATAGAGGGCCTTCCCCTCCTGTGCTGTCCCTCCACCCTCCCATGCATGATGTCCCTCTCCAAGGACCTGTCCCTCCTTACAACATGTCCAAAGTATGTTAGACAGAGCCTCAGAATCCTTTCCTCCAAGGAGCCGCCAGTTTAACCCTTTCCAGGATGAATCTGTTTGTTTTCCTAGCAGTCCATGATACCCTCAATACTCTTCTCCAGCACCACAGCTCAAAGGCATCAATTCTCCTTTCTATCCTCCTTAGTCATTGTCCAACTCTCTGATGCATACCAAGTGATAGCAAAGACCATGGTCTGTATCAGATGTACCTTAGTCTCCAGAGAGACACCAAAAATTCTTACCTCCAAGGAGGTTTCACCCTATCTAGGGCAGACCTGTTTGTTCTCTTGGGAGTCCATAGTATGTTCAACACTCTTCTCTAGCATCAGAACTCAAAGACATTGATTCTTCTATCATTCTTGGTCATTGTCTAGCTCTCATTTATTGACTATATCTCATTAGGCAACATTTCCCATTTACCACAGTAAAAAAAAAAAAACAAAACCACACAAATAAAACTACCTTCTACAGGAGCTGGCTTCTATAGGAGCTTGGAGGCCAAGATTGGTGAGCATTAGGGTGGAAAGTTGATTTGTTAAGGAGAGTGAGGGGAGAGGTTACAGCCTCCTAATTAAAAAGCCTTTTGGTCGGCAGCATGAGGCTGGAATGCATTTTGAAAGCCATCCTTCTTCTAGGTTGTATAGCACTGGTCTGTGCATCATTGTACAGAGGTAACACATGGTTGCTGTGATGCAAAATACTGTGACACTGATGTGTCAAATGGTTACCCTTGGTGGACAGCATTTGGTGGAGCTCTCTGACTAAAACAAGCCTGGAAGCAGGAGTGGCATCCACTTCCGAAATGGCTTGCCTCCGGAAACTATGTACGATCAGTGCTCAGGCCTTTC